CACTCCGTGAGTGTAGAGTGTCGACCAGATCCCCTGGTCACTCCGTGAGTGTAGAGTGTCGACCAGATCCCCTGGTCACTCCGTGAGTGTAGAGTGTCGACCAGATCCCCTTGTCACTCCGTGAGTGTAGAGTTTTGACCAGATCTCCTTGTCACTCCGTGAGTGTAGAGTGTCGACCAGATCTCCTGGTCACTCCCTGAGTGTAGAGTGTCGATCAGATCCCCTGGTCACTCCGTGAGTGTAGAGTGTCGACCAGGTCCCTTGGTCACCCGTGGGTGTAGAGTGTCGACCAGGTCCCTTGGTCACCCGTGGGTGTAGAGTGTCGACCAGATCCCCTGGTCACTCCGTGAGTGTAGAGTGTCGACCAGGTCCCTTGGTCACTCCGTGAGTGTAGAATGTCGACCAGATCCCCTTGTCGCTACGTAAGTGTAGAGTGTCGACCAGATCCCCTTGTCGCTCCGTGAGTGTAGAGTGTCGACCAGATCCCCTGGTCACTCCGTGAGTGTAGAATGTCGACCAGGTCCCTTGGTCACTCCGTGAGTGTAGAGTGTCGACCAGATCCCCTGGTCAGTCCGTGAGTGTAGAGTGTCGACCAGATCCCCTATTCACTCCGTGAGTGTTGAATTTCGACCAGATCTCCTTGTCACTTCGTGAGTGTAAAGTGTCGACCAGGTCCTTTGGTCACTCCGTGAGTGTAGAGTGTCGATCATATCTCCTGGTCACTTGGTGAGTGTAGAGTGTCGACCAGATCTCCTGGTCACTCCGTGAGTGTAGAGTGTCAACCAGATCCCCTGGTCACTCCGTGAGTGTAGAGTGTCGACCAGACCCCCTGGTCACTCCGTGAGTGTAGAGTGTCGACCAGATCCCTTGGTCACTCCGTGAATGTAGAGTGTCGACCAGATCCCTTGGTCACTCCGTGAGTGTAGAGTGTCGACCAGATCCCTTGGTCACTCCGTGAGTGTAGAGTGTCGACCAGATCCCTTAGTCACTCCGTGAGTGTAGAGTGTCGATCAGATCCCCTGGTCACTCCGTGAGTGTAGAGTGTTGGCAAGATGCTCATATCCACACACACATGTCGTGTATTTTCCTGCTGTACATAGTATACCTATTTATACATTTTTTCCCACATTACTCTATTATTGCACCTTTCATTGGCTGTGCTAAAATAAGCATAGGTTTACGGTACTGTAGTAAGATGCACTACTTGACCTGATTCCACTTAAACAAATGTTTACTTGAGCGACTAAACTAGAATCGGTGTGCTGCTGACCATTGCAGCCACTAAGTGCCGATTGGTCTATAAAAATTTAGATTTAGACAATGTCTTCTTCTTCTTCTTAAACTCCAAACCATGTGGCTTTGGTAATCATGTCTGTCCACAACCTTCTGTCTCGTGTACTTTCAATTAACTCTGACACAGATGATCCTCCATGCCATGATGTCAAACTGCCCAACATTTTTTTCTTGGTCTCCCTCTGCCTCTCCTCTCCTTCAGCTTTTATACTGTCACAATTTACTCCAGTTTTCTTCTTCTCATCATATGACCAAAGAATGTAGATTGTCTCTTTCTGAGTCAGTTTCTTTCAAGACATTTTTATTACTTTTTTTTATCTGCTTAGGGTATTCTTATCATTCGTCTATAAAACCACATCTCCGCAGCTTTCAGATATTTTTTCGCTAATCGATGATTCACTTCCCTTTATCTATAATGACTGCAGAAGTTGAGGATGCAATACATCATATGAAGAAAGGAAAGGCACCCGGGCCAGACAAAATCTCACTGGAAGAAATCGAAGCACTGGAAGATTTTGGAATTGACATAATAACTAAACTTTTAAATGATATTTATAATAGTGGGTATATTCCAAATGACATTTTAAAATCCATATTTATAGCTCTGCCTAAGAAACCAGGCACTATAAAATGTGAAGACCATCGCACAATAAGTCTTATGAGTCACATGACTAAGATTTTACTGAGAATAATTATGAGAAGAATAAGAAACAAAATTAAACCAGAAATCAGCGATGAACAATGTGGATTTGTAGAAGGAAAAGGTACAAACAACGCCATATACATTCTAAGGACATTGTCAGAAAGAGCTGACAAGAGTAAGTAAAGACTGATTTGTACATATGCTTCATAGACTATACAAAAGCATTTGACTGTGTGAAGCATGTAGAAAGTAATCAAACTGTTACAAAAATTAAACATTGATGGGAAAGATCTACGAAAAATAAAGAATATGTATTGGCAGCAAACAGCAGCTATAAGAATTAACAACTGTTTAGGTACATTTCAAAGCATAAAGAGAGGCGGAAGACAAGGATGTGTACTGTCACCTGATTTGTTTTCAATATACAGTGAATTTATAATGAGATCTTTAATTGGTATGCAAGGAATTGTGGTTGGTGGGCACAATATAAACAATTTATGTTATGCTGAGGATACAGTCTTGATAGCAACAAATCAGAAAGAACTACAGGAAATGATAGACATTGTGGTGTTAGAAAGTGGAAGAATGGGCCTCAGTTTGAATAATGAGAAGACAGAAGGGTCAAAGAAACGAATTATTCCTAAGTGTGTACTAAAAGTTGATGGTGTTATTTTAGGACAAGTACAGAAATTAAGTATCTGGGCACATTGATAACATCAGATGGAAGATGCATAACTGAGATAAGAAATAGAATAGGACAGGCAAAAACTGCATTTTATAAAATGAAAAACATCTTGTGCAATATATCCTTGTCATTGAGAGTTAGAAAAAGAATTATTGCTTGCTACATACATCCAGTTTTAACATATGGTGGTGAATCCTGGACAATCGGTAGGCAGGCCAAACAATTTCTGGAGGCCTCGGAGATGTGGTTTTACAGAAGAATGCTTAGAATACCTTGGACAGCCAAAAAGAGCAACCAAGAGGTTTTGAAAGAGGCGGGAGCCCGAAGACAACTTATCACAGACATCAGAAGGAGACAATCATCATTTTTCGGCCATGTTATGAGAAGAGGGAAAATAGAACATGTTGTGACCACTGGAAAGATATGTCAAAGGAGAGATAGAGGAAGACAACGAGAGAAGATGCTTGACAGTCTTGTTGCATGGCATGGAGGTGTGTCGGCACACGAACTGATACATGCTGCAGGAGATCGCAGATTATGGAGAGGCATGATCGCCCACGCCAGTCGACAAGGCACCTGATGATGATATCAGCATAGGATTTATATAGCTTTTAAGAATTCTCTTTGGCGTCTCATGGGACATAAAAAGATTGCATAAAATATTCTTCTTTTTGTAAATGTTTCTTTGCTTGAGCTATACTACATTTGAATTATGTTATACATCTTCCATCTGGTGTTATCTACACAATACACTCTGTGTTAATATAATATACTATACTAGACGTTATTATACTACTCTATAGTAACTATATTATGTATTACTGCGCATTACTATACAATAGTGTTTCTATACCATAAACTGCTACATGTTACTATACTAGGTTACACTATGCACTGCTAGACTATACTACACTACGCGTTACTTTACTACACCATGCGTCACCATACAAAGATTTACTATACTATACCAGACTATGCGTTGCTATGCTATACTATGGGCTATTATACTATACTATGCGCTAATATACTATATATGTATTATACTGTACTAAACAGCGTGAAGCTATACTATGCTACGGATTAACTCACTATGTGTATATTTGATACTATATATGATATTGCACTGCATGTTACTTTACTATACTATACAAAACTGAACTTCGCTTTATCATATTACACTATGCTATATTATACTGCATGTTAAAATACTTTGGGGACTTAACTACGATAATATACTGTACTATCCGTTAATACACTATACTATCCATTACTTTACTATGCACTATACTTCGCCTTACGCGGCGCGATACTATACTATATTTCGCGACATCATACTATACTGTACAATATTATACTACTTATTTTATACAGTAATATACTCTAAAACGCTATTCCTCTAAGTACAAGTGAAAGGTAAAACACCCACTTCAACTCGTTAAGGCGTATTTGATATATAATGCCTGTGTTATGACAAATCGCTACTCAAAGGGTCATGTAGTCAATATCATGCCAACCCCACTCACGAATTCCAACCCTTACCCTGTTGCGTGCTGATCAACAAAATGGCTTATTCATAGACGTAGACATTGATCCTAATTGTCGTTCGCACCTAGTCTATATAGTCATCTCTCTCTCTCTCTCTCCCTCTCTCTCTCTCTCTCTCTCTCTCTCTCTCTCTCTCTCTCTCTCTCTCTCTCTCTCTCTCTCTCTCTCTGTGTGTGTGTGTCTTGCTCTGACTGACTCGGACAGACTAAGCAGCCCCAATATATATCTGCCGAACTCATGTGGGCTGCTGATGTTTACACTAGAGGCACGTTTGTGTGGGCATTCTCGGGAATAATGTTTATGTGGGCATTCTCTAGGATTATACTTATGTAGGTGACTGATGTTACATGAGAATCACGCTGTCACGTAATTCAGACTTTCTCTGTGCTTCTCGTTAGCCATGCTTTTCGGCCCCCACACCGAGAACCCACGTGTCTATTTTCTCGTGACACTTCACTTCTCACTCGTTAACATTCTCTCCCCCTGGCTACTCGAGCCACTGTTGACACTATTCCCCTTGAACTCTTGGAAAGTACTATCATACCACTCTGTCCCTTCACACAATATTACACTCTCTCAAATCAGCACGCAACATACCCATCGAGCCCAAACTACCTTCCTAAAGGCCAAATAATAATTTTTGAAAAAAAAAAAAAAAAAAATTAAGTTGGGTGGAGTGAGGGGGGTGGGGGACATTATCTGCCTTGGAGAAAGTCTTAGTTCTAATGCAGCTCTTGCCACTATCTCTAGGACCCGCCCACGAGGATCAGTCTCCAAACTTGCAGCCACAACCAAGAAAACACGGAAAAAGAAGCCTCAAGAGACTGAGCTCGGGTAAGTCAATGCCATCTCCAAAAGCAGACTCCAGTTTGGGGTCATGTGGTAAAAAAGATCAATGTGGTACCTCGCAAAGAGGAGCTGCCACATCCCCAGGGATGGTCCGAATGGCTGGCACCCCATTTCGTTTCCTTGTTTACTTATGGCTCCTTGTGCCACACCCCGGACAACAGTTTTGGTTGCCCAAACTGCTGGTTGCTGCCTTTATTTTACCACTTTTGAGGTGAAAGTAGGAGGTCTTTAAGCCTTAGGATTTTTCTACCGCGTGGCTAGTTCTATAGCCACGACTGTGCAGGTGAGGATTTTATTTTGCCACCGACAGGAAAAAAAATCCTCAACCTTACCGATGATTCAAACCTGAATATCTGGCTTGAGAGCCCAGCATGCTTTCTGTTCGGCCAGCCGCTCCTCGCAGTCTTGGCTAAGTGGCAAAACTGAGTGAAAGCTCCCTAAGCAGAATACGTTCAGAAGCTCTGGTAGGCATATCATCTAAATCAGCGGTTTTCAACCTGTAGGCCGCGAGCCCTTTGGGGGTCGAACGACCCTTTCATAGGGGTCGCCTAAGACCATTGGAAAAAACATATTCACTGAAGTTATGAAGTGGTGGCAACGAACATTATAAAATGGCTGAGGGTCACCACAACATTTGAACCGTGTTAAAGAGTCGCGGCATTAGGAAGGTTGAGAACCACTTGTCTAAATGAAGGACACATAGAATACTAAACCGTGAAGTTCCTGCACGATCAAACGCTAGGACATCAAAGCCCGACTAAAAAATACGGGCAGACTGGAAGACAATCAGCCTAGAAGAGGATACATTGTATTTCCTGAAAATAAACGTTAGCTTTCGAAGTCAGAAGATGTCAGCATACCAGTTCTCCCACCCCTCCCCCCCCCCACACACACACACGCACGCGCGCGCGCAAACACACACCCACTCAGCCACACGTGCGCGGACGTCCACACACAAACACACAATCTGCAATAACTGCCTGTAGTACCATTTTGCGGTGCAGGCAGGAAGATCATTAAGCCTGAAGATTTATGGCTGCATTGCTAGTGTTGTTGCCACGAACTGTGCAGGTAACGATTTTATTTTGTGCTCCCAACAGACAAAAAATCCCCAACCTTACCCGTGTCTTCTTGGCGCGGGGCTGAAGTAACTTGGGCTCTGACGCACGAGCTGTATGGCCGAGTTAACAGAGTCCAGTATTCCAGGACACGCTGGGGCTGAACAACATGGTCTCTGACTGCACTGTTGTTATGATCCTGGCAGGAAACCGCGATAAAGTTGTGGCTGAATGCTGACCGGCCGGCCCAAAAATCTTGAGTTCAAATTCACATCCTGGTTCGACTAAGCCTAAAATGGGTACCAAAGAATATCGTGAGAAGTAAAGGCGGTCATCGTAGTGTTGACCACATTACTTGTATAATGCCTACGGCTCCACCATGATGTGCCTGAGATGGATCCGTTACTTCATTATCCTCGTCATCACTATGTGCCCTGTCGACAAGCGTAGGCTGTCATATTTCACCATCGCATACCATCACCAGTATCACTGATCTAATCATTGTTCTTGTCTCACCACGCCCATATTGATCAGCCTTCCAGATGTACTTCCAATACACTTTCTGTTTCTTGATTAATTCGAGATGTATGTATGTTTTTGTCCCTTGCTCTTTTTCTATGGACCTTGCCAGTCGTCTCCAAGTTGTAAGTGCATTCCTTCTCATACTTCTCATTCACTGACTTCATGATCCTGTTGTGCCAGTATACGTCAAATAGGACTCGATATCAATTCCTCCATCCTGTCCTATCCTGTGCAATAAGTTTAGCCCCATCGACGGAATCCAGTCAGGCAGCTTTGGCTTCTCCTGTCGACGTCCGTCGTAGTTCATTCACTTGCTCATTACTTATTATTATAGCAGCCCTGATGGTTATTTTACCCAGCCAGCCAATGGGTTTTAGAATTAACTACCTGACGATTATTATTGTCTTCATTAATATTATTATTATTATTATTGCTCGAGGCTCAGAGGAAAGGCAAGACGGACTTTTAATCAGAATGCAACTGGCACAATTAGTATCGGAAGTCTTCGCTGGATGCTGAAGATGGGGACGGAGTGCTTATGGAAATGCCCGAGTCCTGTGATGTCGGCTCTTGAATCAAATCAAATTATTTTTATTATTATTACTGTTTTACAATTATCGCACACAGCACGAATTCTGTATACCCCATGTATCCAAGGATCTCAGCAAAAATGATTGCACTCGTGAACGGAACGACGCAGTTCATGAAACAGATGATGGTGTTTAGTGCGTGAGGCAAACTACTCTACATCTGAGCCACTGCATGTTTTACAGAAATTACATGGAGACTGTTTTAAACCTTACAGGAAATAGACTGGATTGAAAGCTAACGGAATAATACTTGCAAGCAAATTACAGTGACACTTTTGAGAAGAGGTAGTTTTCTTTTAGAAACATGGCGATGTCACCCAGTTAGTTTAGCAATCAGTTAAGAAACAATGGCACAGACAAATAAATGGTAATAACCGAAATGGCAAAATGAAGGCGCAGATTAAGAAAAATAAAACAGATTATTTGAGTAATCAAGGGAAAAGAATTAGAGAAAGCAACAATTAAAGAAGCATAGGAAAGATAATACGTCAAACTATTTAAAAAAAAACTCCTTAAAAAAACAATAGGTCGAGACGAAATGGATTACATTTCAAAGATAAGACTTAAAGAAGTTCAGCCGACAAAAATTGTTGATGGTAGATTTTGTAAAGTTTAACTTCCTCGGCATAGTTTACTATTTTCTCAATTTCTTTCCCCCTTTTCTTAAACATTTCCTTCATCATGTTTCTCGTTTTTCTTTCTTTAGCCTTGAAGGTTTTCCGCGTTGTTTGATATATTCTCGTCACAGTATCACACTATCTTCACATTTGGTAATTGCTTCGGGTTTTCACTGTTATCATTGTTTGCCATTTTAGTAATCGTTTGCTAGTTTGTTTATTTATTTATTTATTCAACATCAGCTATTGTTGCTTGTGGACATGGAAAAAAAAATAACTTTCTGGTATAACAAAATCATTGTTATGTCAATACAATGTTGCCTACTTCTTCAGACTGCTAATTTGTTTGATCTTAAATTGCCTTCTGTATTGTGTCTCTTCCAATGCGTTATGTTCTCATATGTACAGACATGTTGTAACGATTACACAATCCCTAAATTTTTATAAGGTCTGCCGGAATGGCGGCAGGTTTATCACAAGCCGAGGACACTAGCAAGCAGAAGGAGGCTGTCAGTCAGGACTTGCCTGCAGAGAAGAAACGGAGAAACCCGCAGATAATTCGAGATCCTGACTACACTGGGCCTGCCAACATTGCAGGAGTCATCACCGACGATGAGTTCGTGATTCGGCGACTGCAATCCAAAATTGAAATTCCTTTCAATAGATACACTTCGTTGTCTGTCCTTCTCAAAGCCGCCGAAGTCGATGAAGATGAGCCACTTGAGGATCAGCTAATGGTTGTCAGAAAATCAGACATCAATCCCATGCAGATGACAACACTGCAGCCTTTGCATCACAGCATTCCGTACTACCTTTCTGTTGCTAAAAGGAAGAAAACCCAGGCCAGTAAAAAATCAGAAGTCGAAATAGATAAGATCCCGTCCAGAGTGCCCCCTGCAACATTAGCAGACGCTTTTCGAGAGCAATATTTACTTGGTGGCTCCAGTCACCAGGGTGCCGCTCCAGAGTTTCCGGTTCCCGGGCAAAAGTGGTCACCCAGACATTACGGCGTTGAGTGGCCAGTAAGATATGCCAGTAAACCGCCTTATACATCTCCGGGTTACGATTGCACTGGCATAAAACAGCCTGTTGGAGTGATCCCTGTGGAACCAGTCTCCTCGCATCCGGAGTATGCCATAGTGGGAACACGCAGAATTCAAGTTCCGGCCTGGGTGTCTCCTCTGTATAAACCGTACGGTATTGGTGGACACATGGGACTTGAAATACCTTTCAGTAAGCCTGTAGCCGTTGCGCAGCCACAAATATTAATAAACAAACCGACTGGTGGGTTTTTCCAGTGGCTTAAAGATTTGTTCAAGAGTGATAAAAAGACAGAAGGACCAAAGCGATTTGCAGTCTTTAAACTGCGACCAAGGTCCCGGGCCGTTAAGAAGACTGCAGACATACCTCGCGCTAGTCTGACTGATATACTAAACGCCGAGTCGACTAACGAGAAACCTGACGAGACAAATCAGCCTTTGACTACTAACCCGGAATATGCGCCTTACGAAGATGAAATGATCGCAAAGCCTGCTGACGAAGAGGCACAACCGGAACGCTCTAGTATCTTTGAACCACCCAGAGAAACAGAACGTTCTAGTGTCTCGGAACCACTCGCGGAAACTGAGCCTTCGGGTGTTTCAGATCGCTTAAGTGTCACACAAGGCCCCAGTGATAATGAGGGTCCCGCGGAAACGGAACGTGCCAGTGTCTCCGAAGGTACCGCGGACACAGAACGTGCCAGTGTCTCTACAGAACCTTTTATACCTGAAAGTCCGTATGTCTATTCGACTTAGAGATCATCAGCACATTAGTACGAGCGCTATTCCAAAATATATCTCCGAACGGCTGGTTTCAAAACAAACAAACAAACTTTGCCGTAGCGATACCTTCATCTCTTGCATCTTGCAGTAGTTTTTTAGCTCGCGTCACACCAATTTACAGTCGCACTTGTTCAGAAATTCGGAAATCGCGAACGAATGAACTTCTTCTCTTCTTCTTCTTCTTCAGCATTCCGATCCCTTGAGGTTTATTGCTGAAGATATCACCCGCCTCCATTCAACTCTCTGGTTAGCCTTCTCTTTCCATTTAGTAATACCGTGTTTGCAGGTCTGTCTAGATATTATCTCTCCATAGTCTTCTGGTCTCTCTTGTCATCTACGAACATTCATCTCCCTGGTGTATACAGTTTTTACTTC